TTTCTAGCTGTTCTTCCAATTTTATTTCTGTGAGGTCTTGGTTTATTTGCTCCCAGTTAATCCGTTTATTATTAAAATTGAATTTGCTGAATTCTCCTCCCCTGGGGCTCGGGACTGGTTGTGCAGTCTACTCCCCATGGTTGTCACAACTTCAATTAGGTTGTGATGAGAGTAACTGGTATTTGTAATCATTATGTTCCTGATCAATTCATCATTATTAGTGAAAATGAGGTCCAGCGTGTTCTCCTTCCTAGTTGGTTCTACTATTTGCTGGTCTAAGGAAAATCTGTCACACAACCGTAGCAGGTCATTTCCATGTGCCTGTTCATTTAGGCTACTTCCTGGTATTCTTTCTTATATTACTGTATTAGCCAGGTGCTTCCATTTCAGGTGTCGTAGGTGTAAGTCCCCAAGCAGAAAGATGTTCGGAGCTGGATTGGTGAGGTTTTCCAAGCAGTGCTCTATTTTCATTAGTTGGTCTTTAAACTGCTGAGGGTTTGCCTCCGGTGACTTATATACAAGGACAACAACTACATTTAGGATCTCTATTTTGACTATCAGCACTTCCACCATATCATTTGAGGTGTTTAGCAGCTCAGTACAGATGAGTGTGTCTTTGATGTAGAGGCTGACCCCACCCTGAAGCCGGTGTTTCCTATCACATCTGAAGAGATTGTATTCTGAGATCCATATTTCACCATCAAGGTAGTCCTTTGTGTGAGTTTCCGTTAGGGCTGCAAACACTGCATTTGCAGTGTTTGCAGATATATGAGGAAATGCAATTACGGCTGTGTAACTATTTCGGTGACGATGATGAATGTGGTTATCTTGAGGTTATCTTGAGATGATTTCGGGGCTTTTAGTGTCCCCGCGGCCCGGTCCTCGACCAGGCCTCCACCCCCAGGAAGCAGCCCGTGACAGCTGACTAACACCCAGGTACCTATTTACTGCTAGGTAACAGGGGCATAGGGTGAAAGAAACTCTGCCCATTGTTTCTCGCCGGCGCCCGGGATCGAACCCGGGACCACAGGATCACAAGTCCAGCGTGCTGTCCGCTCGGCCGACCGGCTCCCTTTTCCGGATCCGGATCCGCTCCCGACCGACCGACCGACGTGTATATACTGCAGGTTGTCGGGTGAAGAGGAATTGCTACTATTGCAAACTTTTCCAAAGGTGAGGCATGCAACACTGTCACACCAACACCTGTTCACTCTCGGTCAATGACACGCACCTTTGTAGACGTTAGTATAGGTGAACAAATCCACAAGGGCCGTGACGAGGATTCGAACCTGCGTCCGGGAGCATCCTAGTTAGTATAGGTCTCTCACCCACTCTCCCTCCCGGTCACTCTCACCTCTCTCTCTCCAATCCCCCTCACTCTCCCTACCCCCCCCCCACACCCCCCCTACTCCCCTCCTCCAGTCACTCCCCTTATCCCGATACGATTAATGGTAAAGTTGTTATACGATCTGCCACCAGAGAGTAATTGGCACACCTTGAAGGTTATACCTTGATATGGTTCCGAGGATCAATATCCCTGCGGCCCGGTCTATGACCAGATCTTCTGGTTGGTGGACTAGTCAATCAGACTGCCAAAGGCCGACACTCACAATCAGACGTATCAGTTACGTTGATCAAGTATAATTACAATCGCGATATTCCTGACCTCAGTATCGCGATTGTATCATTTTGATATACAAAAGTATCAGTATCACTTTGATATACGAAAGTGCTCTAGACGTACCTTAAGAAAGCAGGATAATTTATAACGGGACAAAATAAGTCAGTGAAAATTATATGTGATCCCCACTGGGAAAATTCTATTACATACACACGACGTTACAAATACATGACTCATAAATGTATATGATATACAAGCTGAGGAGAAGACCTCTCAGACCCTGAGGGCCCCCTGAGGGCCCCCTGAGGGACTGAGAGGGACGAGGCAGAGTGGTAAGTTGTGTCCTGACTCTACCTCGCACACACTCACACACTCTCACTCCAATTCACACTCACTCAAGTTTTCCCTCGGAAATTTCAGGGTTCCAAGACCCACCATTGGAGTACTGAGATGGGAAGCATGTCTAACTAATGGCAATATTCTGTCAAGCTGAGGATGGTGGGGAATATATCCCACTTTTTTTTTTTTTTTTTGAGATATATACAAGAGTTGTTACATTCTTGTACAGCCACTAGTACGCGTAGCGTTTCGGGCAAGTCCTTAATCCTATGGTCCCTGGAATACGATCCCCGCCGCGAAGAATCGTTGTTACAACCAAGTACACATTTTACTGTTGAGTTAAACAGAGGCTACAGTTAAGGAATTGCGCCCAGTAAATCCTCCCCGGCCAGGATACGAACCCATGACATAGCGCTCGCGGAACGCCAGGCGAGTGACTTACCACTACACCACGGAGACTGCAAACTTCACGAACGGAGACTTCATCTATTATCTCAGAAAAAAATTATTTCCGATGGAAAATATATTGTAAACAAATTGTTCTACATTAGGCGACTGAGTGAGGTGTCTGAAGCAGCTTACGGTAGATGAAGCAGTTTACGGTAGATGAAGCAGCTTACGGTAGATGAAGCAGCTTACGGTACATGAAGCAGCTTACGGTAGATGAAGCAGTTTACAGTAGATGAAGCAGCTTACGGTAGATGAAGCAGCTTACGGTACATGAAGCAGCTTACGGTAGATGAAGCAGCTTACGGTACATGAAGCAGCTTACGGTAGATGAAGCAGCTTACGGTAGATGAAGCAGCTTACGGTAGATGAAGCAGCTTACGGTAGATGAAGCAGCTTACGGTAGATGAAGCAGCTTATCAGGCGATGAGTCACAATAACGTGGCTGAAGTATGTTGACCAGACCACACACTAGAAATTGAAGGGACGACGACGTTTCGGTCCGTCCTGGACCATTCTCATTACTGTTCTCATTACTACTATCCCCTACACCTGACTTTCCTCCTCAGCTCTCTCTTGCCTATTTAATGCCTGTCCCTACCTGTCCTCACGTTACGGGCTATTCATGCCCGTGCCACCTTTTGGGTAGCTTAATCTTCATCTGTCCTCATGACCATTTGGTCACCACTTGGTCCGGGAGACATCTCCCGTCACGCAGGGTGCAGTTGCGCCTCCACAGATCTCCAGTATCATCTTTTGATACTGGTAATGGCTCGAAAGGGCCACCACTTACGGGCTATTCATGCCCGTGCCACCTCTTGGGTGGCTTAATCTTCATCAATCAATCAATCTGTCCTCATCACAATCGACTTGAGAATGGTCCAGGACGGACCGAAACGTCGTCGTCCCTTCAATTTCTAGTGTGTGGTCTGGTAAGCTTACGGTAAGTATACTTCACAATGTAAATGTTAAGTAGATATATTCTTAACAATACAGGTGTCTACTTCCCTCTCTTGTACGAATATATTGTAAATTGCTATTTATATACAAATAATGTATATACATGGGTATACTCTACATTATGGATATGTATACAGTATATGCTAGGATGTATTGTACATTGTGGACATCTATACATTACATTCTAAGACATACCGTACAATATTATTATTAGTGCACCAAGCAGCTAGGGTTTCCTCGTAAGCAAAATTTTAATCAAAACTAACTTAGCATCCTAACCTAATCTAACCTAACCTGAACTAGCCTAACCTAATCTAACCTAACCTGAACTAGCCTAACCTAATCTAACCTAACCTGAACTAGCCTAACCTAATCTAACCTAACCTGAACTAGCCTAACCTAATCTAACCTAACCTGAACTAGCCTAACCTAATCTAACCTAACCTGAACTAGCCTAACCTAATCTAACCTAACCTGAACTGGCCTAACCTAATCTAACCTAACCTAAACTAGCCTAACCTAATCTAACCTAACCTGAACTAGCCTAACCTAATCTAACCTAACCTGAACTAGCCTAACCTAATCTAACCTAACCTGAACTGGCCTAACCTAATCTAACCTAACCTAAACTAGCCTAACCTAATCTAACCTAACCTGAACTAGCCTAACCTAATCTAACCTAACCTGAACTAGCCTAACCTAACCTAACCTGAACTGGCCTAACCTAATCTAACCTAACCAGAACTAACCTAATCTAACCTAACCTGAACTAACTTAACCTAATCTAACCTAACCTGAACTAGTCTAACCTAATCTAACCTAACCTGAACTAGCCTAACCTAATCTAACCTAACCTGAACTGGCCTAACCTAATCTAACCTAACCTAAACTAGCCTAACCTAATCTAACCTAACCTGAACTAGCCTAACCTAATCTAACCTAACCTGAACTAGCCTAACCTAATCTAACCTAACCTGAACTAGCCTAACCTAATCTAACCTAACCTAACCTAACCTTCCACGACCCAAGCCCCCCCCACTCTGGAATCTTCCTCGACCCAAGCCCCCACTCTGGATCCTTCCATGACCCAAGCCCCCACTCTGGAACCTTCCTCGACCCAAGCCCTCTACTCTGGAACCTTCCTCGACCCAAGTCCCCACTCTGGAACCTTCCACGACCCAAGCCCCCCCACTCTGGAATCTTCCTCGACCCAAGCCCCCACTCTGGATCCTTCCATGACCCAAGCCCCCACTCTGGAACCTTCCTCGACCCAAGCCCTCTACTCTGGAACCTTCCTCGACCCAAGCCCCCACTCTGGAACCTTCCATGACCCAAGTCCCCACTCTGGAACCTTCCATGACCCAAGCCCCCACTCTGGAATCTTCCTCGACCCAAGCCCCCCACTCTGGAACCTTCCACGACCCAAGCCCCCACTCTGGAACCATCCTTGACACAAGCCCCCACTCTGGAACCTTCCTTGACCCAAGCCCCCACTCTGGAATCTTCCTCGACCCAAGCCCCCCACTCTGGAACCTTCCACGACCCGAGCCCCCCACTCTGGAACCTTCCACGACCCAAGCCCCCCCCCACTCTGGAATCTTCCTCGACCCAAGCCCCCACTCTGGAACCATCCATGACACAAGCCCCCACTCCGGAACCTTCCATGACCCAAGCCCCCACTCTGGAACCTTCCACGACCCAAGCCCCCCACTCTGGAACCTTCCTTGACCCAAGCCCCCACTCTGGAACCATCCTTGACACAAGCCCCCACTCTGGAACCTTCCACGACCCAAGCCCCCCACTCTGGAACCTTCCACGACCCAAGTCCCCACTCTGGAACCTTCCACGACCCAAGCATCCCACTCTGGAACCTTCCTTGACCCAAGCCCCCACTCTGGAACCATCCTTGACACAAGCCCCCACTCCGGAACCTTCCATGACCCAAGCCCCCACTCTGGAACCTTCCTCGACCCTAGCCCCCCACTCTGGAACCTTCCTCGACCCTAGCCCCCCACTCTGGAACCTTCCTCGACCCTAGCCCCCCACTCTGGAACCTTCCTCGACCCTAGCCCCCACTCTGGAACCTTCCTCGACCCTAGCCCCCCACTCTGGAACCTTCCTCGACCCTAGCCCCCCACTCTGGAACCTTCCTCGACCCTAGCCCCCCACTCTGGAACCTTCCTTGACCCAAGCCCCCCACTCTGGAACCTTCCACGACCCGAGCCCCCCACTCCGGAACCTTCCTTGACCCAAGCTCCCACTCTGGAACCTACCACGACCTAAGCTCCCACTCTGGAACCTTCTTTGACCCAAGCCCCCACTCTGGAACCTTCCTTGACCAAAGCCCCCCACTCTGGAACCTTCCACGACCCGAGCCCCCCACTCCGGAACCTTCCTTGACCCAAGCTCCCACTCTGGAACCTACCACGACCTAAGCTCCCACTCTGGAACCTTCTTTGACCCAAGCCCCCACTCTGGAACCTTCCACGACCCAAGCCCCCACTCTGGAACCTTCCTCAACTCAAGCCTCCACTCTGGAACCTTCCACGACCCAAGTCCCCCACTCTGGAACCTTCCTCGACCCAAGCCCCCCACTCTGGAACCTTCCATGACCCAAGCCCCCACTCTGGAACCTTCCTTGACCCAAGCCCCCACTCTGGAACTTTCCACGACCCAAGCCAGCACTCTGGAACCTTCCACGACCCGAGCCTCCACTCTGGAACCTTCCACGACCCGAGCCTCCACTCCGGAACCTTCCTCGACCCAAGCCCCCCACTCTGGAACCTTCCATGACCCAAGCCCCCACTCTGGAACCTTCCACGACCCAAGCCCCCACTCTGGAACCTTCCTCAACTCAAGCCTCCACTCTGGAACCTTCCACGACCCAAGTCCCCCACTCTGGAACCTTCCTCGACCCAAGCCCCCCACTCTGGAACCTTCCTCGACCCAAGCCCCCACTCTGGAACCTTCCTCGACTCAAGCCCCCCACTCTGGAACCTTCCATGACCCAAGCCCCCACTCTGGAACACTGCCGCGACCTTCCAGAGCCACACCCCCACATTAGGGACCGGGTTCCTGGAAGACAGTCAGTCTGGCCGACTATTAACTCTGACTCCAACTGCTCACCTAAACTTAGTTTTTCTTAATTCCAGTTTGATATCACTTTGTGGTTTGAGGCATACTGAGCTCACTCTAATATCTCATAAGGTTCACTTTAGCTTATGTCATCATACTAACTTGACTCGAATACTCACATGATATTAGTCAGGGGACATAAAATATTCAAATTCATATATATCCAAAATGATTTTTTTCAAAGTCATTTGACTCAAAATAGTCAACCCTTTAGTCACTTCCTCAAGAGAACCATTTTCTATGCAAATAGTGAGAGCCAATTTTTACTTTGCGAGCCTGTATCAGCTTAGGACTGCTTGTATCAGCTTAGGACTGCTTGTATCAGCTTAGGACTGCTTGTATCAGCTTAAGACTGCTTGTATCAGCTTAGGACTGCTTGTATCAGCTTAAGACTGCTTGTATCAGCTTAAGACTGCTTGTATCAGCTTAAGACTGCTTGTATCAGCTTAAGACTGCTTGTATCAGCTTAAGACTGCTTGTATCAGCTTAGGACAGCTTGTATCAGCTTAAGACTGCTTGTATCAGCTTAGGACTGCTTGTATCAGCTTAGGACTGCTTGTATCAGCTTAAGACTGCTTGTATCAGCTTATGACCGCTTGTATCAGCTTAGGACTGCTTGTATCAGCTTAGGACTGCTTGTATCAGCCTATGACTGCTTGTATCAGCTTAGGACTGCTTGTATCAGCTTAGGACAGCTTGTATCAGCTTAAGACTGCTTGTATCAGCTTATGACTGCTTGTATCAGCTTATGACTGCTTGTATCAGCTTATGACTGCTTGTATCAGCTTAGGACAGCTTGTATCAGCTTATGACTGCTTGTATCAGCTTAGGACTGCTTGTATCAGCTTAGGACTGCTTGTATCAGCTTAGGACTGCTTGTATCAGCTTAGGACTGCTTGTATCAGCTTAAGACTGCTTGTATCAGCTTAGGACTGCTTGTATCAGCTTAAGACTGCTTGTATCAGCTTAAGACTGCTTGTATCAGCTTAAGACTGCTTGTATCAGCTTAAGACTGCTTGTATCAGCTTAGGACTGCTTGTATCAGCTTAAGACTGCTTGTATCAGCTTAAGACTGCTTGTATCAGCTTAGGACAGCTTGTATCAGCTTAAGACTGCTTGTATCAGCTTAGGACTGCTTGTATCAGCTTAGGACTGCTTGTATCAGCTTAAGACTGCTTGTATCAGCTTATGACCGCTTGTATCAGCTTAGGACTGCTTGTATCAGCTTAGGACTGCTTGTATCAGCCTATGACTGCTTGTATCAGCTTAGGACTGCTTGTATCAGCTTAGGACAGCTTGTATCAGCTTAAGACTGCTTGTATCAGCTTATGACTGCTTGTATCAGCTTATGACTGCTTGTATCAGCTTATGACTGCTTGTATCAGCTTAGGACAGCTTGTATCAGCTTAAGACTGCTTGTATCAGCTTAGGACAGCTTGTATCAGCTTAAGACTGCTTGTATCAGCTTAAGACTGCTTGTATCAGTTTAAGACTGCTTGTATCAGCTTAGGACTGCTTGTATCAGCCTATGACAGCTTGTATCAGCTTAGGACAGCTTGTATCAGTTTAAGACTGCTTGTATCAGCTTAAGACTGCTTGTATCAGTTTAAGACTGCTTGTATCAGCTTAAGACTGCTTGTATCAGCTTATGACTGCTTGTATCAGCTTATGACTGCTTGTATCAGCTTATGACTGCTTGTATCAGCTTAGGACTGCTTGTATCAGTTTAAGACTGCTTGTATCAGCTTAGGACTGCTTGTATCAGCCTATGACTGCTTGTATCAGCTTAGGACAGCTTGTATCAGCTTAAGACTGCTTGTATCAGCTTATGACTGCTTGTATCAGCTTAAGACTGCTTGTATCACCTTAAGACTGCTTGTATCAGCTTATGACTGCTTGTATCACCTTAAGACTGCTTGTATCAGCTTATGACTGCTTGTATCAGCTTAAGACTGCTTGTATCACCTTAAGACTGCTTGTATCAGCTTATGACTGCTTGTATCAGCTTATGACTGCTTGTGGTAGCCACCAGGGTGGTGTGGGTGGTGGTGGAGGCCGGGTAGTGAGGGTGGGCGGTGAGGGTGTAGCCACCAGGGTGGTGTGGGTGGTGGTGGAGGCCGGGTAGTGAGGGCGGGCGGTGAGGGTGTAGCCACCAGGGCGGTGTGGGTGGTGGTGGAGGCCGGGTAGTGAGGGCGGGCGGTGAGGGTGTAACCACCAGGGCGGTGTGGGTGGTGGTGGAGGCCGGGTAGTGAGGGCGGGCGGTGAGGGTGTAACCACCAGGGCGGTGTGGGTGGTGGTGGAGGCCAGTAGTGAGGGTGGGCGGTGAGGGTGTAGCCACCAGGGTGGTGTGGGTGGTGGTGGAGAGACGGGAACTGTCTTAAAGGTGCTAGAGTGATATCCTCCCCCAGTCTCGTCTACCTCAGCCTGCGTCTCTGTCTCTCATCTTTATCTCACTCCCCCCTCACCTGTCTCTCATCTCTCCCTTCTCCAACACTCCTCCCGTTCCTCATCTCTCTCCCACACACCAACTTTATCTCCGTCCACACCTGTTCCTCTACCACCATTACTCCCACACTCTCACACTCAACACTCAGGTTCGTACACACCTGAACACTGAGGTTCGGACACACCTGAAGACTGAGGTTCGTACACACCTGAACACTGAGGTTCGTACACACCTGAACGCTGAGGTTCGGACACACCTGAACACTGAGGTTCGTACACACCTGAAGACTGAGGTTCGTACACACCTGAACACTGAGGTTCGGACACACCTGAACACTGAGGTTCGGACACACCTGAACACTGAGGTTCGGACACACCTGAACACTGAGGTTCGGACACACCTGAACACTGAGGTTCGGACACACCTGAACACTGGGGTTCGGACACACTTGAACACTGAGGTTCGTACACCTGAACACTGAGGTTCGGACACACTTGAACACTGAGGTTCGGACACACTTGAACACTGAGGTTCGTACACACCTGAACACTGAGGTTCGTACACACCTGAACACTGAGGTTCGGACACACCTGAACACTGAGGTTCAGACACACCTGAACACTGAGGTTCGGACACACTTGAACACTGAGGTTCGTACACCTGAACACTGAGGTTCGGACACACTTGAACACTGAGGTTCGTACACCTGAACACTGAGGTTCGGACACACTTGAACACTGAGGTTCGGACACACTTGAACACTGAGGTTCGTACACCTGAACATCGAGGAGAAGCAACAACCAACATACACGAACTTTAATAATTAATTTGATTATTATTATTTACTCCAAGACGTGCCGGACCAACCGGGCTGTAGTGGAGGTATACCTGCAGGCCTCTCCAACAACAGCCTGTCGAACCAAGTTATCACGTCTCAGGCCTCAGGCTGGGCTTGGGAGTCGAACTGATAGAAGCCACTGCAGGTATATCTTGAGGTTATCTTGAGATGATTTCGGGGCTTTAGTGTCCCCGCGGCCCGGTCCTCGACCAGGCCTCCACCCCCAGGAAGCAGCCCGTGACGGCTGACTAACACCCAGGTACCTATTTTACTGCTAGGTAACAGGGGCATAGGGTGAAAGAAACTCTGCCCATTGTTTCTCGCCGGCGCCCAAGATCGAACCCGGGACCACAGGATCACAAGTCCAGCGACCTGTCCGCTCGGCCGACCGGCTCCCATTATACATATAATACCGGTATACATGTCTATAATCACCCACACCAGAGATATCACAACAAATGAGAATGTTGCAGGCCGTCCTGAACATTACTCAAGAGTCATGGAGACACCATAACCTCCTTGAGGCTGTGACTCATACGTCAGGCAGCGAGCAGCCGCGTCTAACAGCCTGGTTGATCAGTCCAGCAACCAGGAGGCCTGGTCGACGACCGGGCCGCGGGGACACTAAGCCCCGGAAGCACCCCTTAGGTAACCTCGTTCCTTGCATTGCTTGCATAAACGCCAGTCTATCAATCCCAGAAAAATACCGTCAACAGAGCCTGCGACTGAAAAGAAAACCTTTAATCCAATTTTCCGTCAAGTTTGAAGCAATCGGAGCTCTCCTCGCTCTCTATGAAGGACAAGGCTCCCGCCAAAGCGGTGTAGCCGGCCGGAAAACAAGAGGACTATTGTATATGCCGGCCAGTCGAGGCTCGGCCGTCCGGCTACCGTGGCCGGATACAACATACCTAACAACCTGGAGACTGTAGACGTGAGCGCTTTAGTCCGGCCCGAACGATCGGCTGAAGAACCGATATTGGTCTCCGTATCTCCTTTTGATTGGTGGTGTGGGCTATTGGTCTTTGATTGGCCTCGGAATTCTATGCCTCGGAAATCGAAACCAATCAAGAGTGGTAGTGTGCACAAGCGGGAGACCCGGAATGTTCCGCTATAGAGCCTAAGCGGCGAGGGTCCCAGCGTGTCCCCAGGAAATACAAATCGTCCGAAAGTGACCCAGGAAAACAGGAAACGTCCCAGCGAGTTGCAGGAATTAGCAATTGTCCTGCGAGGAAACAATTAGCACAGAGCCCTGCCCTTCACAACGTTGTTGCTCACTTACCTTTCCATCTTTGCAAACTTTGTAATTAAAAGCAATTTGTGTTTTACCCGGTATTTGGGTTGCATAAATTAGCAAAGGTAATCATGCAACTGTGCTCGCCTTGCAGATGCACTAGACACAAACCCTATGCCCCTGTTACCTAGCAGTAAAATAGGTACCTGGGTGTTAGTCAGCCGTCACGGGCTGCTTCCTGGGGGTGGAGGCCTGGTCGAGGACCGGGCCGCGGGGACACTAAAGCCCCGAAATCATTCCAAGACAAAGAGTATTATTACTGCCAAGAAAATATCGCATAGATATAATGTTTCAGTTAAATATTTCCATTGTCGAATAAATTATTATAATCAAGGGCATCGATGAAGTATTGTG